GGCTGGAACCGAGTGGGGCGGCCGGCCTGGGCCCAACCCCCCACACCCTCCAGGTCCAGGCCCCGCACGTTCGTCTCCCGTTCGCACCTCGCCTCTGGGCCAAGCCGCAGCTTCTTCCCCATCGGGCGCTCTCCGCCTTCAGTACCTTTTGCACCCCCCACTCTCAGCCCCAGCATCCCCAGGGAGGTTCGGAATGAGCGCCAGATCGAAGCCTCCCGGGCCCTTTGTTCCCAAGCGGCCCCCGCCCAGTGGGCGACGCTCCGTGTGTCTTCGCGGCTGCAGGCCGTGTGTGTGCGGTGAGCGCTTGTGTTTCTGGAGGTCTGCACGTATTGGTGCTGGGTTAGAGGGGCGGGACTGGGGCTCCAAGAGTTGTGTTCAGACCAACTCCTAACCTCAGGAGACCTTCCTCGGGCCAAGCAGGGTCTGCTCCCCTCCTGCCGGTGCGGTAGCCGCACAGTGAGATACACCACTGGCCCCACCGCTCCCTGTACTCAGTGCACCCCCAAAATGCTCATAGTGAAGGTAACGGGGGACAGAATAGCCAAAAGACTCTGAATCCCTTTCCTCCATTAGAAGCACAGAACTAAGCGCCCGGAGGTTCCAGGCCGAGGCCAGCTCGGGACCAATGCTCCCGGTGGCTTTCAGCTGCTGGAGAACTGGCCCTGTTTTTGTTTGAACGTTTTGTAACGATTAAGCAGATCCCGGCGTCAGCTCGCCGCGAAGAGGCTCAAACAGGCATAAAGTGCGACCCCAAGTGGCCACAGTGCGCAAAGGCGCCCAGAACCGTTCGGTCCACAGCCGGAAGGCTTGGACGGCGCTTCGGACCCAGCCAAGTCTCTACCTGGCCCAACGTGAGCCAGCCTGGAACGCGGGCTGTGTGTGACCCGGAGGCCCGTACAGGTGCTCCTCGAGCCACGCGTAGGTCCTCTAGTCCCGTCTTCGGACTCAGCTGCTAGCCCCGCGCTGGTCGCCCCCGCTGAAATTCCGTTTCCCAGCCTTCCGGGGTGCCTGTTGGCTGCTCCCGGTGAGGGAAGTTCCTGGGCGGGGAAGGGCCAAAGGCCAAAAGTGGAAATAACACAGCGAGGGGGCCCGGGGCGTCTGGTGAGAAATCTCCCCGGAGCGCAGACGGGAAAGAGGAACGTAACGTGTTAGGCATCCAGACACCGTTCCAGCATTGCGCGCCCTCCCTACCCCGATCAAGAATGGCGGGAAATAGGTCTTTTCGAGACCCTTGCCCGGACGCTGAAGCCAGATAAATCGCGAATTCGCTGGATCCGGAGTCCCGACCCGCCTCCCGCGTCGCCTTACGCTTTCCAGCTTTGGGCGCGCGCTGCGAAAAGCAGGAGAAGCGTGCACTGGGTGAGTGTGTCCGGCTGCTGTGTGCGTGGGACCCGGACGACCGAAGCCGCGCGTGGGGGTCGAGTGGGCCACGCCAATGCGAATGCGGCCAGATTTTTTTTAAGTGTTAGAAGGTGAAGTGTATACCTCCAACTAATCCAAAGCCCTATTTTCTCGAGCCCTCGGGGAGGCTGGAGTAGGGCGCCGTCTTGAGAGGGTTATTTTTAATAAAATGAATACATTTGAACTAAAAGGTATGGATCAGCGATTCTAGTGCTGGGAGACCCCGTCTTGCAGCCCTCTTTGAGAACCGAGCTCTCTGCAGAAATGATTTGGCCGCCTTTGGAGAGAGCTCGGGCCAAGCGGCAGCGCAGCCCCTGTACAAAGCTAGGCTATGGGAACATGTACCTGTCCTGTGGGGACATGTGTCCCTGTCGCATTCACACCAGGTGAACACACACTCTGGTCGCAGCTCAGAGGAGAAGGTTTCGAGGTCACCCTGTCCAGGCGATTACCGATCTTTGCAGACTACAGCTTTGACCTTAGGTGCCCAGGACCGGACAGACACACCGGGCCCTCTTGGTACCACTGAACCCCAGCGGGCAGTGTCGTCTTCCTCGGCCGATAGACACTTGGCTACCTGAGTGTGCCTAATGCGGCAGTCCGCTAGTGTGCGCCGAGGTTGGCAGACCGAGCTGTGCTCGCCCTTCGCCGCCTGAACCCTCGGGTCCACCTGACCGTCGCTGCCGAGGGCTGAAACTCCAATCGCCAAGTGCGGCCCATCGAGAACTTGGAAGTTCCCGTGGCCCTAGCTCTACGGTTCCAAACCTCCGGTTCTCCTGCGGGCGTCCGTCTCAGGGTCTCTACGGCTCAGGCTTTGTCTGGGCACGCACGCTCCTCTTTGTCTCTGTCCCTCTGTCTCTGTTTCAGTCACTCCTCCTACGGTTTGACCGAAATATCTGTCTGTCCCTACATTCACCTACCTCCAAATCCGTTTCATTGCCGCACTCTCGGCGGAGTTACTTGCTCTTCTCCCCATCCCCCGACCACCCTACCTCCACTCCCCCCAAAAAAACTTGGAAATAGCCCCACCCCTGCCAGGCTACGGATGAGTTAGAATAGAGGCGCTCAGGACACTCAGGAGTAAAGGCCGACGCATGGGGAGCCGACCGCCCTCAGTGGCCAGACCCTCCCCATTCGGCTCCCGCTGAGCTCCGCCTAAGGGTCGCGGAACCCCAAACGGCCACCCACCCATTCCCGATTGCATCTGCGGGCTGCCGCCACTCCACGCCAGGGGGCCTGGATCCGCGTGTCCGGCTCCCGGTTATCCGTACACAGCAGTACCAGGAGGGTGTACCCCAGTTCTGAAAGGCATAGTCGGTGCGCTTCTGCATACCCATTGACTGGGGAGCCCGTCGCGCGGGAAGAAAGAGGCGGGATGGTGGAGAAAGTGAAGCGCTGAGGAGTAGAAGCGAAGGGAAGCGGGCCGGGAGACGCAGGAGCTAGAGCGGAGCGCAGTCCCAAGCCTCTTTGGAGGGAAGCCGAGGATCGGCGGCGGCCAGAGCCCCAATAGTTTGTGGTCTCCAGTCGCTAAAACTCCAATTTGAGGTTTTCGCACAAAGAGACTGTTCTCTCCACCCACCCTAGGTTGTGCCGGAGGCTATGCGTCCCAGAAGCACCACCTTGGGTTTCTTTAGCTAGATGGTGATGGGGGAGGCTCTGCAGCGTTCGAGCCGCAGCAGAACCTCAGGACACTCGGTGTAGGCGTAGAAGAATTTACTCGCTAAGGGACCGTGGAGCCCATAGTCAATGGTCGGGTGTGAGGTTCGCCGCACTGCCCCAGTCCGCCTTACTTAGCCAACCAGGTAGCAACCGAGCAGCCCCGCGGTGCGCCCTCCTGTGCGCCTCCAGACTGAAGAGAAGCTACAGGTTTGCAAGTGTTTAGTGAGCGAGTAGAAGAATCTGTGAGTGCAGGGGAGCAGCTGAGGTGCGCAACAGGGGTATGAGAGAGAAAGAGACACAGACGGATGGGAAGATGCAGCACACGCATTCAGAGAGTTTGAAATTCGTGGCCTCTGAGCCCGCTGGGTTGGCAGGTTTTACTATTCCGGATCGCCAAGCCGGGGGTCCGTGGCCCCCCCGCTGAATTCTGCCAGGCAGGAGCCTTCGTCAGCGGGATCCACCCAGAAACCTGCCATCTACCATTTGATCACCCAGATGTAGTGTCACCCGCTCTTC